TCAAAGTGAGCCTACAGACGCCAGCTTCACATGACACTGAACAGCCATCATATGACAGCAACCTTCCGGCAATAACAAGCCACACTTAAAGCAAGCCATTTGCAAGCAAAAGGCTCCTCCACCACTACAAGTGCTCTGATTTTTGTTCTAGTCTTCACACAAAAACATACTTCAGTGAGGCTGAACTCCCTCTTCCTATCAAAGGACTTTCCGTCACCTGCAAAGCGTGGCTTGGAGAAGACAGTATGCAAGAAACAGTTCTAAAGAGGTCACCTCAAAATTGTTACCAGACCATACATACATGCCACTACAAAGCACATACACACACAATTAAAGCAAACAGGGTGGCAGGGGGAGGGTGGCGGGGCTGGCAGACCTCTGCAATACCCATTCAGGAGCAAAACAAACAGGAGAACTTTCTATGAACACTGAAATCATGTCTGTAAAAATTAATTATTGGATTCTTGGCTCTCGGCTGCTCCCAGGGCTATACACAGCTTTGACAAATACGACATTTATGTACCAGGCTTGCTCCTCGTGCAGCCAGTGCTGACTCTGTCCATTTTAAACCAGGGAAAGCAGCTCACTGCCACAGGTGAGGTGTTTTTGGCACCCACACAGACACAGGCTTGTCTCTGACAACAAGCTGTAACACTTCTAGAGGTAAATTTCAAACTATACACCAAAATACTGACAGTCTAAAGCAGTGGTGGCAACTCACAGTTGCAGTCACATTACAGCTGTCGGTCATTAGAGCACAGCTGTCTCAACACTTCCTTTCCTCTAGATCCAGTCTTAATAAGCTCCCTGCCCATGCAGAGAGGGGTGGCACAACAAGGTAGGAGAAGTTCTGAACCCACCGAGACTTTGGGCTTTATGAACCAGCAGCGTCAGCTCAGCAAAAGGGGGCTGCACTAGAGGGAATGATCTCCCTCCACAGTCAAAAATTACCATGCCCTCCAACTAAGAGGCCTGAGCACTGTCTAAAACACATTTTCATTGGACCTGCAGAGGCTGATGTGGAAATTAAAAACTGAAAGGACAGAGTCAGATGACTGACCCTAAATAACATCTAAGCAATTCAATCGTGTCTTTCCCATTGCAGGCTTAGACAGCAGGATATCGTAACTAGTATCAATCGATCTGTTTGCTACTCTAGCTGATAATGGTCTGGCGCTGAATGAAAATTTTTATTATTATTACATGACTCAGGCTATCTGAGCAGATAATCAATTATATGAAAATATTCTTAATCAAAGAATTAGATTAATAAATCTTATTTCTCTTGAAACACATCATGTACTCCACTGTCAACACTGTTACCAAGGCTCACTAGGCTATAGGGAGAATCCACACTGCAACAGCTATGAAGGTATTACCAGAAAATAAACACTTGGAAGCTCAAAAATGGCTTTTTTATTTCTTTATATCTTCCATTGAACTATTTTCTATGTGACATAATATGAAAATGTAATGCTGCTTAATGTAGTTCTAGGAATAAACACGAACATTTTTGGCCTTGTATGTAGACATTTTTCAGTGCTAGAAATTCACAGGATGGCTATACAAACAGAAGTCTTACAGCAACCGTGCTCTTTGGCTCATACCGTTATCCCTATTTAACCGACGTGATAACTGAGGCAGAAACATATTGAACTTTTTGTCCAAGGTCACGCAGTGAGGTCAGGAATAGAGCTAAAGCAGACTCCAACTCTTTCAGTTCATCGCTTTGTTTTAAACCACTTAATCTCCCTTTTAGCTCTTCGGTGTAGATGCAAAGATACAAAAGACTGTTAATACACTGTTACCCCTAAAATTGCAAATCCCCAATATAGCAAGAATGCAGGTTAGCATCTAAAGAAAGTATACAAAAATCCCCTTCCAGCCCACTGGACACAGAAATATTGCAGCATGTCCCATCCCTTTAATAATATCTCACAGCAGAAGGTACTTGAGTCACTTTTAGCGTAGTGCCAATCCTAACTAAAAGCTCTTAAGACTAATAAAAGTTACACAATCGGCCAGGAACACGTAGCTGATGTAGACTCCTGGAATCACACGTTATATAACCAACCTTTTCATTTATGTACAAAGAAAGTTCAAAATAAAGGTAAAAAAAAAAAAGATAAAATCAATATATCGAATTTCTACAACATTTTACAAGTGCCTTATGAACACTAAGTACCCACCTCAACAATTCCACAACTAAACATTACCAGCAGCTATTTCAACATAGAAGCTGCATGAAGATGACGTGAAAAATGAAGCTGTAGCTTCAAACTTAAGTAATAGCAAAATGCCTCCAAGTGTTCCAGAGGCCAAAAATACACAAGCACCAATCAAATGAAAGATCAATGCCAGTAAGCTCAAGTAGTGACAGGATTCCCTGGCCACCATCCCCCTGTTCTGAGGTTTTCCATTATAGCCTTTGCTTCCTAATCCATGTGAAACAATGTCAAATCAATGCAGAATAGGTTGCCTTTTTTTTTTTCTTACTGCACTTAGACAAAACAGCTTTCTTGATAATGCACACTGTGCTGCATTTACCCCTATATCTCCAAGCACCTTCATTTCTTTACAATGAAGAAGAAACATAGCTTCTTTTCTGTTGAACTTTGTTGCAGTTAGCAATTCTCATTTCTAAGTGATAATGTGTATTGTAAGTTCAAAAGGTTTGTGTTCTGTAGAAATCCAATTTAATTAACTTTTTAACTCCGCTTCCTAGCTTTATAGAGCAGCTACCTCTTTTGCCACAGGTGTAACTTTTCTTTCTCTCGATGCCAGAACTGCACCAGTAGAAACAGAGTGAAATAGCACCCAGCACAAAACCCATAATTTAACAACAAGATTTGATAGTATATTTTGAAAAACGGCTTAAATGATTCAAACATACCATGGAAAATCAGTGGAACTCAAAGTCATTTCAGAAATCCCATTCCCATTTGAAATTTAAATATCTAAATAAGAGTGCTCAGCTGCTCATAGGATCTCAGTATCTCAACCCTCCTAGCTCTGGGTGCATAGCAGAGGCTGCGGGTGCTTTGCCTCCTTAAAAAGCTAGTCTTGTGTGGAATTCAGAGATCTGTTTTATACAGCCCTTATTAACATGGTAAAGAAACATTCTTTCCAAGATGGGGATCAGAATGGCTGCTGGCCTTTTATAGGGGTGCTGCAACAATAAGTAAAGCGTAAATACCTGTTTATTATAGTAGGTGTGGAAAGAGCCTTCCATTACTAAGCCCTACGCATTAGGCACAGAGGCATTCCAGGACAGACACAACGAGGAACAGAGCGACACCAAGAGCAAGTTACACAAGTAGTCTGGGACCTGGCTGTGAGGAACAGCTAAGCTAGAGGCTGCAATCGGAAGACAAGAAAAACAAGCATCGTGGCTGATCTGAAAGATTACAGAAAGGTCTTAGATGAGACCACCAATGACACAAAAAAATTCAGCTGCACTCTAAAAGCTTAAGCGCGGTGTAACTAAAGATGCCGACAGTTCATCAAGAGCGCAATGAGCCAGCCAGCCACTCACTAGAAAAGTGCCAGTGTACAACAAGAACGCAAGCAGCAGCAAGATCTGCAGAAAAGCATTTCTCCTAGTGCACATACTATCCACTGAGGACAAATGTTCCACAAGCCTGTAATCTATGACACTAAGCCCTTCAATCAGGTCACAGTAATTCTGAGAGTGAGCACGTCCAGCACAGCTCCTTACAGACAAGTATCTTTATCCTATTGTCCGCTTTCCAGATTTGATAGACCATCCTTATGCTACAACAAAGAGGGTCAAAACAGGTTTTTGGTTAGTAGTCTTCCCTACTACCACATAAGAGGTTTTAATGAAGTATTTATAAGCTGATTTATAACGAAGGATGTTTTTGGCAGAGAGCTTTAATGACCTGCAGTGCTAACAAAATACTATTATAGTTACAGAAAATAGCACAAAGTTCCATTTCATTTTTAGCACTGTACACTTGGTATAAATTGCTAGCTTACTAAAGCACAATCCTCAAAATGGAACAACTCTAATTTTTTCTTTAGCCCTAAACATCAGGGACTTGGACAATACCAGACTTATTTCCAAACAAACATCTCGCTTTCATTTGGGAAAATTTGTATCACCTCTTTCTCGATGCCTTTTATTCAAGTATGCCCCAACTGATTCCCCACAAAACCAAAAACAGACTGAAAGGGCTGTTAACATTCACACCTAGTTTAGATATCTGAGTTGTCACAAAGTAATTATTATATTTGCTATGTATCTAAGATACAATTAACAGTACACGTCACTGGGAGAGATTTATTATCTAAGTCAAATTCCAACACCTTTACTCACTTCAAACAGCACCTTGCTTTGAGAGTCACCACAGTGATTTCACGGCACTACTTGCCAAACAGGGTACTACTCAACAGGAGCCAGTGACCCAATCAGGTATGTTTTGAGTGAACTTGGTCTTCACCTGTGTTTATAAACAGGCTGTCCACACATCAGGATCTAGCATATACAAACAAATAAAGAAGTTATAGAGAGATCCAGATCTCCTAATGATAACATACTTTTTGCACGACACTTAGATTTACTTTAACCACTAGAATATCAAGTCCATGGTATCTTCATGGTCTGTATATAACCTTGCTAAATAATGAAACTGCTGTTATGGTGCTACTCCTATTTGAGACAGATATTGTAACTGCAAAGTTCAGTTGTGAGCTTCTCTGACTATTCCGGCTGGGAATGACAAAAGACCACTGAGACACTTTAGTCCCTTCTTCCCCAAGGACAAGCTACAAACGCTATCTGAAGAGACAAGTGAACTTCAGGCAAACATCACTCTTGAGAGCAGCTGTAGTTACTGTGCATATGCTTTATGTGCCTAAAGAATCAATTAATTTGCAATTCTTATAGAAAACAGTAGACAGAAATATATAAACACAGCTGCCTGTCTTCCAAATATACCATTAGTGTAACTGCTGTGAAGTCAGTGTCCAAAACTTACAGCCGTCTGCTTCCACTAGAAGCAGGCAGGTATTCGTTTTCATTTCACAAGTCACCGTTAACTATCAAAAGGGAAACACAAACAGCATAGGTAGGTCACTAGCAAGAGTTCTGGGAGACAGGAATTTAGTTCCCTCCTCTGCTGTTTTCTTGTGCTACCCAGAGAAGCCATCAGTTTACACATCCCTCAGTTCCTCAGCTCATCAACAGTTCCTTTGGTCACAAACATGTCGAATGGCTATGACAGAGCTTTTTATGTGATGTAACAAGACAAAATAGAGAACTTCCCCTTGTGTAGGTACATTTGTCTTTAACAACCTAAAGCAGCTAGCTATGATGTTTGCAAGTATATTTTGATTTTAATGTATCAGGTATTAAACAAGAAGAAACACGAAAAGGATATAATAGGCCCAGATAAAACAAATGCATCTTTGCAAGTTTTAAAGACGAGAAATCTTAAACACGGAATTTGAAACAAAACTGAAACCACCATATTGTGTGCATCACTACTGATAATCATCCTGCAGTTAAAACTTAGTCAGCTGAACAGGTTATGCTCTGCTTACAAGATGCTAGCCCAGCAGAGGAACGTACGAACGCTACCAAACAGAAGGGGAAAAAAAAGGTTTGGATAATGCATTTAACTTGTGCTTTCTGTAATAGAAACTCTAGATCTAAAGAAAAATACAGACTGAACAACTTGTTCTCTCCTTCTAATCTGTGTGAATTTTTTCCATGGAAACTGGTAAACCCACTCAGTCTGCAACTAACACACCAAATCATAACCAAAAAGCGTACAAACCCTGACCTCATTGCCTCCATCTTGATATTTCATCTCATGGCTCCTGTGTGGTATAGCAGCCTTCACTGTTTAACAAAAAACTGCAAACTCTCTAAGACAGCACTTACGCTTGTCACCAAATTGCACGCAGTATCACGCACATCCAATTAGCCTCCTCGAGAAATTAAAAATTAAAGCTAGAAGCATCAGCATAGCAAACAGGTACAAGAACTTTTACACCATTTTTTGTTCGCTCACTTCTGAAAAACAAAGGAACCAATTCTCCTTTTACAGTTTCACACTAGGAGAATGCCACAGACTGCAGTGGACTAACATTTGATTTACACTGGCATGCACAAGCAATAACTATTTGTTCCAGGTTTCTGAAGCCTTGTGTTAGAATATTTATGAATCTTTAACAGAGATTTTTGCTGAGATAGCTTTCCTTTCACATAAATATCACCACATTATTTTATCATCTAGTTTAGTTAAGATCAGAATAGTTTCTAGTGGACCAATTGGCAAATCCTCTAAGACTGGCATTTGACCCTCATAATAAGGCAGCGCTTACATGTTTCCAAGGAATGCAGCAGGTACACAGCAGCAATACCACACTGTGATACTTTCATTCACATAGACAGCACAGCAACTTTTCCAGTGCTCATTATCACTCAAGCAAGTACTTACAGGGTCAGAAGGACCACAGAAGTCTCTGAACACTTTTGGAGGCTCGGGCTGTATAATCTCCATTGCTATACAAGGGCCTGAACACAACTCTGTAACCATGTCCTGGAAGAGAAAATGACAGAAACAAATCTGAGCTTCTTTGGGCATTAGCAAGGGTTGTAAGTTTGGGCCTAGTTTTGGGGAGGAACACAGGACAGGAACAATTAAGAAATATTGGTGCATTTAGGAAAGCAAAGACATCAAAAAAAGATGTCATTAGTATTCACAACAAAAGAAATGTTTTCCATTTTGCTGTTTGCTTTAGAAGGTGGAGATCGAGGTAAATTAGATATTCAGCTTCAACAGGATACTGAATAACATACAACAGCATGCACAATACTTTAAATTCTTTTGCAGGTACATACTTATTGACCTGGACCTGGATTTCACAGAAGTATCTCATAACTTGCCAAACTAGACTGAATCAATGGAACACACTTTGCTGGGTATAAGTCTGAAAAAAATCACACTATGTTCAGCCAGTTCCATACTTTGCAGTGTTCCCTACAGGGAGCACAGTACACAGCCTCTCTTCGTTTCCAAATGTACGCCCATTTGCTGACTTTAAGACATTAAAACGTCTCTCATGCTTTTGGTTCTCACTGTCCCTTCCTCATATACTAGTACAAAAGCTGATACACACAAGCAAACAAAACAGCATCGAAAGGGGCCTGTGGCACAACCTGTTCGGGAAAGGGTCTTTGATCTGGCAAGAGTCTTGTGGTGTACTGTTACCAGAATCTCAGTACACCAAAAACATGTTTCCCCGGAGCCTTCCGGAGAGTGAAGAGACATCATGAGTTCCAAGTGGGTGATGAAGATGGGTCTTAGTTTTCATAAGCTTAAATTAATACCGGACGTTAGTGCCAGTTCGGAGTTTGTTAATTAGAGGTATAGGTTTCACAAGCAGGAAGAACCTATTCTGATGTTCTAGTTTGACTTCATTTTTTAAAACATGCCTTTATAATTGCATACTTTTCTAGAAATTTGGGCAGACAAGTTTTAAACAAATCAGGACAATTAAAATAATTGAAACAAATGAGGAAAGAAGAAAACTTTCACAGGAAATAAGGGAGGTTAGGGAAGGATAAGCAAGGTACTGCAATCACACCTACCAGCCACGGGCAGGTCAAGGATGAGCCATGGCAAAGAACAAGAGCACAGAGAATGGTCAAAAAAAGCAGTAGGAAAAGAAGGATTTAGTCCTTCTCTGCCTTTTATGAATTGTGATGGAAACTAAATACACAAATACTCCAAGTCAAGCAGCATTGTTCCAAAGAGCTGGTATGTTCATAAGAGATTCCATGCTAGGAGCATGTGCTTAATCTCCCCACTCTGAAGTCAACAGTCAGAATTTAGTGAAGTGCCTCTATCACCAATCTGATCTTAGGAAATGCAGGCCAGTAAAGAAGGAGTGCAGACTAGTTTCTTGCTCTACAACATGAATAAATATTTTAATTCAAAAAACTTATCACCAATGGTTAAGAACAGGTCAGAGGGCAATATATTTCATTCTGGTAAATTACCAGTCACTACTCTCTACAATTTCATTGAATTCTGTCATCTAAATAACTGTTAACAGGCAAGGAGAAAAAACAGGCTTTTAACATAAGTTGACTCAACTGAATTCCTCCCTGCAAACTGTGTTTTCTCTTGCTCCTCCTTTTGCTATTGTTTCTGTATCAGCACTGACATCCCACCAGCAACAGCAAGCAACGTGAGCAAAGTAACTCCTGACTGTCATTACAACACAAAGGTGAGGACTAAGACCAGCTGCCATCAACTATAGCAGAGAGGCATGTAGTATTAAGTGAGACAAGCTTGGTCTACTTTACACAGCCTCATCAAGTCCAGAGTTGAATTTAAATAGCAGACACTGTTTCTCTGATAAGACTCCCAGTTACAGCTAAACAAAATTTTCTTTAGCAAATAGTTTATTCACCAAATAATATGGCTTGTGGTCAACCAAAACCATTTCTGGAGCTAGATCAAGCCCAGGCATTTTTGGTCAACAAAGTGGATTCTGAGCTGACCCAAAATAATCTCCCTCCTTTTCTGCCCATTTTATATTCCGGCTAAAGTAGGAAATACAGTACAAAACAGCACAAAAACTAATCAATAGTATGCAAAATCCCATGCAAGTGATAGCAACAAAGCTAAAATTTTAGGCAATCGTTCAGCTTTCTCTTTTCACAGAGAAGTGCTTCATATATGATGTCAAGCCTTTATCTGAGTGACAGAATAAATGGGAGTACAGTTTTTGAAAAGGATTTCTGGATACCAAGTGTCATCTGTGCAGAGTTATTTTGGAATGATAAATAAAATTCAGACCAAAACAGACGGTTCTGAGTCACAGATATGAGAGATCATATTCTCTCTTCAATATCCTATTTCACAACATACTTCTTCCTATTTGGCCTGCACTGACAACATCTGTGGCTCTTCCCATATGTGCCTTCTCTGGGTCCCCTTACCATCATGATTAGCTTTCCCACATTTTCCTGTTTCACAGATATCCTGAGTGCACAGAGATATTAATTTCATTTCATTTCAACTGAGTGCATCCCGCACATATGGCTTGCAGGACAGAGCCCTGATTCTCACTTTTCTTCAAATCCCATCTAAAATATATCTTCTTTATTGACTTACTCTGTTTAAATGTCACTTTCCCTTCTGAGTATCTCTTCAATTAAATTACATAACTAAAATTTGCAACTTATTAGGGGGTCAGAGATTGTGCAAAAGAGCTGCAGAAGATGGCAGGGAATTTCCAATCTGGTTAATAGCAGAGACTTTTGCAGTACCATGGGATTCTCTGGACCCTGAAATACTGTTCAGATATTACCATATTTTAATTCTGCCACATACCTACATGTCTGCCTGTCCAATCTTCCTTCAGTCCTTGTCAAAAAACAGTGTTATCAGAGACTTTAAGAGTATTGCCCAATCTCAGAGTGAAATAACAGTACTCCTAACCTCTGTAAAGGCAAATCTACAAATCATGTTGAAGTAAGTTAGACTAAACAATCATAAAAGGGGGGAAAAAAAGAAAATAAAAATTTCATTATCAGAGTAATATTAGTAACTGTCTGGAGTAATATTACTAACTGTGTAGAAAGCTTTTAATAATTTAACCATTTAAAAATTAAGGATAATTTGCATAGTACATAGCATGGCAGTGAAGCTAAACTCACCACTATTTGTAAATGAACCAAAATCCTCTGACAGAAGGTGATACAGAAAAGCAAGCTTGTCTTCTTGTATTCCTGTTGTACTGTCTGCAGTCAAGAAGTTATATATCATAGAATCACTGATCGCTTTGGGTTGGAAGGGACCTCAAAGATCATCTAGTTCCAACCCCCCTGCCATGGGCAGGGACACCTCCCACTAGACCAGGTTGCTCAAGGCGCCGTCCAACCTGGTCTTGAGCGCTTCCAGGGATGAAGCATCAACAACTTCCTCACCAACCTCAGGGTGAAGAACTTCTTCCTTGTATGTAGTCTAAACCTGCCCTCTCCCAGCTTCCAACCATTACCCCTCATCCTATCACTGCAGGCCCTTGTAAAAAGTCCCTCCCCAGCCTTCTTGTAGGCCCCCTTCAGGTACTGGAAGGCCACTAGAAGGTGGCCTTTATGTGACACTACAACAAGGCATAATAATATATAAATTCTTAGACATTCACTGGGATTACAGCATATCTCAAACCTCTTAAATTTTCTGAGGACCCACAAAAGTCAGATGAATAAACTTAAGAATAGCTCAAAAATGTCATTAGGAAAGCATTCAAATACAGCATCCCATTGTAAACAAAATAATAAATGCATATTCTGGTCCAAGCCAATATCAAATGAAACAGAGATATAGATGTGACACGTTCTCATAGCTCTACTGCAATAAAATTACTTACCTGAGGGTTTTGGGTTTTTTCCATTCTGTTGTATTTTACTAATTCCTTGGCTGAACAATTTTTCACATCAGACTATCCTTTCTTACAATGTAGATAGCACAATTTTCAAGATGAATTAGTTTATTTGAGAACAAGCTAGAACTGGTCAATACCAGGCTCCTAAAAGAAATCCTATCACAATCCCCAAAAAAGGAAAGTTATGACAGATTATTCTCAAACTTAGGCTTACCACATATTCAGCAACGACACCTTTGTAAATCTCATAAAATTCTTCCACATTTGAACGCTCCATGTTGAACTAGGAAAACAAAAACGTTAGCCAGTCTGCCTTAAACAACAACAAGAAAAAATAGACAGACACCCCTTCTTAATCAGCAAACATTCAGAATACTCTTTTTAATTTTTACTAGGTAAAAGGAATGCCTTTACAGCTGCAGTATGAAGACAACAACTTAGCTAACGATGACAGAGGCAACATAGCACACAGTATCTTCTTCTGCCTTAAATGTAAGCAGACAACGTAGCGTTGTCTGACGTCACTAAGACACGCAAGAGGATCTGTCTGTTGCATACTAAAGGAAAGGGGCTATTCTTCATTTGTGGTGGGGATTTGAGTCATAGGAGGACTTCAGATCTTGAGACTTTCACAAAAAAAAATCAAAGGGCAGGACTTACAGGACTACTCTTGAGAATAACATCTGTGCCAACTTCCTTTAACTGCTGAGGGTGATCAGGGTCAAAATTCTTTAAGTATCTTTAAAAACCTTCCCCTAAATTAATACTAAATATACATTTTTAAGAATTGAGGAATTATATTAACAATCATTTCTCTAATCTTAGCTAGTACATTTTGTAAAGATACCTCAATTTGCCGTGGAAGAGACAGATACCATTATCCCCCTTCTAACTCTATGGAAACTGAGATACAGAGAGGTAAAGTGTCTTGGCTCAAGGTCACCCAGCAACGAAAAACAGATCAGCTGATCAATCAAATAATAAAACATAAATATCACAAGGACAGTGCTAATCCCAAAACATTGCTACACAGTCTGCACAAAGGTTTTGTACTGCAGGAAAACACCTGTGCATTGTTGTGAAGCACACACAGCTTTCTCCAACTTGTGTTTATCAGAAAAACATACACAAAAGGAAACGTACCATCTGCAAAGCTGAGATCTGAAATCCTTCATTGATGATGGCTTTTATAATCTTTCCAGATAGCCCTGAAGAAACACATGAAAGAAAGTATTCAATTTTAAAAAGCAGAATTTACAACCAGAAGGTATTTATGCTAATATACCACTTATTTTCAAACCAAAGAAACAGTGTTTGCGTAATGCTGCAAGAGGAAGCAGAGAGCAGAGCTGAGTTTACATACTCTATGTTCTATCTAAAGTGACATGTTGATGATTTCAAATAACTAAAGTCCATGCAGATGTTGAAAAGAATCTCTACCCAAAAAAGTAATCAGTGAAGCTTTTGCTTTTCTCAGATCAACTGCAAAACACTAGTTGCTTCAGATCAAGATTTATATTTTTAATTAAGTTCCACTGGCAATATTGATGCTTAAACAGTAATCAATTTGGGGCACAGGCTGCCTATTTTGCTGTTTTTATACAGTATTCCCCAGAGTGGGAGTCCTACTTTAAGCTAGAAACAATGCAGGATGATAATAAGTATTCCAAATAAACCAGCACAGAAGTTCATGTCTTCTATGGGAAAAACACATTAGTGCAAAATAGGTTATAACTCACAAATATGTTATTGCTGATTGTACTGCTTCCTTTATTCTCTCCAGAATGCGTCCTCAAAGACTGAATGACATTGTAAAGCAAAACACTAAACTTCAGAGAACGAGAACCACTGTTTTTCCACTGAATGTGTACTTTAGATTTGCCTGTGCTTACAAGATCAGGCCATTTGAAAGATTATGTGTCAGCCAAGCACAGTACGCTGTGTATTTCATAGAATCACCATTTTTACAGAATGTAAGGGCCTGTCCTCTAACACAATTTGTGAGAAACTACACATTTCTGGACATCTATTAATCATAGAAGAATACCCTGTAATGAATGACAACAGTAGGATCTGACTCCTGGTCATTACATCCTTTTCTTAACTAGTCTTTAAATTGCAGGATTTTTCAGCACTGCGTAAATTTAATAGATAAGAATAAAACACATCGGGTACCTAGTTTCTAGCATGCTCAAGACTTAAACTGTACACAGTCTGCTAACACCTGTGGCACAGAATTGGTGAGCTTCCTAGCACAATAAAAGGTCAGTGGAAGCTCTGAGTAAATGAGACGGATAGTTGGAGGGCTTTCAAAAATTGTATTTACAAATGAAAATGAAAAAAGCTATCTCTGAAGTATCCCTCATCATATTTTCACATTCAGGTTTATGCAGAAAAACCTTCCACATAAACAGTGTATACTTCTTCAAAAAAGTCTTCAAACTACTAAAGGGAAAACCTGAAATTTTGGTACATACTCTGTTCATGCAGTCATTGAGCTTACAGAACATAGCAACAAGCGGAGGGAGGTGCAGTTCCTGGCATCCCACTTTACTGTTACACCATGGCTCAGTAGCACTGATACAAGTTTTCTTATAACACTCCTGTGAAACCAGGAAAATATGTTTCCTCTTTTTTTCAAGGTGAAAAAAGTATAACTGCAGAGCAAAATGAAGTGACTTGGACAGGTTTGCCCAGGAAATGTAAGATCAAGTCAGAGGGAGAAACCAGACCTCTAGTTTCTTTCTGTCCACACTGCTGGAAAGGCTAGGCAGCTCAGATGCTTCCACACAGAGGTTCCAGTGAGGTAGCCAGCCCACAGTCTTGACTTCAGAGATGAATGGCCAGTTTATAAAGAGATTAAGCAACTGGCTAGGGATCATTCAGGAAATAAATAAATTAATAAATAATCTGTGACAGAGCATAAACATTTCCTCATTCTCGATCTTCAGAGCAAACGCTCCAGTCAACAGTCACTGCTTCACAAGAAAACAACAAAGAGGGAAGAAAGGACAGTGTCAGAGAAATGGCAAACACCACTTGCAGGGACAAGGCTACCTCGGTGTGAGAAAGCTGCTTCGTGTGACATTTCCATTTTATACTTTACATCAGTCAAGAACGGGCCACTCACATAGGCCTTCACAGCGGGCAAGAATCTAATTAAAATACTCATCAGGTATCAGGTTGAGGTACTATGGAGATCACCTTTTTACAGAACTTTTGTCATCAGCAGGTTTTACAAGCTGTAAGTAAAATCCATGTTTTGGAGAAACAAAGGGGGACTCAAATATTTAGCTTTCTGGGCTGTTTCTCTATTGAAGTAGTTAAGATTTTTCTTTTCTGTTGAGAGAAGACAGGCTCCTTTAACGATAAAAATCAAAGTAGGAATGTATTTTGCATAAAGATCTTTAATACAAGGTTCACTTAATAATTAACTGTGATAAACCTATCAAGATTTTCCTCTACATTGTATTCCTGACTTCACTCTCACTCATCAGAGCAACAGAGCACCTTGTTGCTCCAGACAGATTGGCCATGACCACAACACCCAAAAGACTTAACCAAAGGAATTATTGTCACCATTGTACACAAATAGATGTCTTGCCAAAAAAATTCAAAGTGCCTTCAGGAAGAGGTATGAGATTTCATTTACGTTTGCAAAGCGGGATGTTAGCTCCACTTCCCAGATGTGGGAACTGAGGCACAAGAGGATAAGTGAGTTGCCAGCGGCAGAGCAGATCTACAAATCCAGTGGCTTGGCCTCCTTTGTCCCAGTTTAGGCAATACACGTATCCCTTCTCCTAGGGACACTCTCCTTTCAAATTCCACCTGCACTAAAATAGAAACAAAAAATATAGAGGCAATGCTCAAGCAACAGAAGAGTGGAAGCTCAAGGCTCGGCTTGGGATCTGTTTCAGGCTTTCAGCCAGTTGCATGACTGAATTGGAACCTCTCCTTTGTGGGCAGATAAAGCTGAGAAAAGAAGAACTAATTAGATAGAGTGCCATTTCAGCAGCTTTCAACATTTGTTTTGAACTTTAAAATCCAGATCTGTAGTGAAAAAACAACTTTTTAAGGATCCTTCAAACAGGGCCAGTGCATGTTTAAAATGTGATTACAGTAAGAACCCAAATCAAAGCTCCAGAGTAGGCACCAGTTATGACGACTTTTCAGTCACAAAGTACAAAAGAATCACAAGCATTACTAAATACAACTAGGGGAATGTAGTACTAATCCTAACAAGAGAGAGACAGAGAGCATGCATGTTTTATGTCTTCTAGGCAGCCTTCTGTTACTATGCACCTAATACAGGACAGATAATGTTCCAATGTATTTTAATCAGATAAAACAATAAGGCACCAAGACCTCATCAGTTACATTGATCTTCTACAAGATGTTGATTTACAACGCACAACATTTGAAAATTGTGCTTTATTAAGAAGCAGAAATTAGCAGGAAAGACATCAGACTGAAAAATGTTACAACTTTTAGCAGAATTACGGATTGGAATAAAATAAAACAGCTCATGAAAGTCACTTTTAACCTAACAGCACTTTAATTAATGGAATGTAACAGCTGTGTTACCAGGACCTGCCAGTCCCAGCACACTATGAACCACCAGCCATACAACAAGGGATGTTACATTATCTTCCCCTTGTTCTTGGCCTGTTTCCCAATTTAACGATTCCACCATTAAAAGCTTATTAGGCAAGACAGCAGACTACCTTCAAAGCAAGTCAAGAACTAGCTTCCTCATCTCAGCCTCTATATGTCGTTTTTTTAATAGCCTTCCAATAATTAAAAATAATTCCTCTTGAACAACAACAGGTTTTTGACAGGAATATACAAACTGCTGACACTGATCAGATCAACAATCCACCTAATTCAATAACATATTTCTAGAAGTAAGTGGTACCAGATGCTTAAAGTAGCACTAACTATAAGTGGCAATTTCATACCTATTTTTCACATTTTAAAATGCAATTTTGCTCCACAGTATAACGAAGTATCTAATTCCTTATTGCCAAGTGTTAAGGTCCTGTCCCAAAACTCCAGAGAATCACAGTCAGGCTTGATTCCAAGCAAAGTCCTTTTTTCAATTCCAAAAGAGGAAAAAGGGGGACTCAGAGCTGGGCCCTCCTGCAATGTATTTCAGTTGAGGTTCTCAATAATGCTGCAAAACATTGTGCAGCAGGAGGCTGACAGATGTCCTTCTCAAAATGTGCACTTCTTCCCATCAGTTGATCAACCTATCCCCTGAAGAACAAGGTTTATCTATCTCTTCTCTTAGAGAAGAGAGTGTTTTCTACTTAGAAATAACGTAGCTCTAGGCATTCTTATTATGCAACATAAATACATCACTTCTAGACTCCCCAAAAGTTTGGCCATAGTAATAATCTGCAGCTATTGATCTCCCAGCCTCGCTGTATGAAAAAGGACATCCAGTCATTTTTGTATTTGTACTCTGGAGCACAAAGAAGTGAGTCATAGAGGGCCTCCTGAGCGACACACGCTGGGCCAACACAGAGGAGAAGGGGAGCTCAAAAGCTACCCAGTCTAACCATGAGGAGAAAAAAAAAAAAAAAAAAAAAAAGGATGCAGACAGAAGATAAAGAGGAACATATGAGGAAATCATAAAAGAATATTGTTCATAGTGATAGAATCCATGATTTTCCATCATCCCTCATTTCTCTCTAGGCATTGTATTAAAGGAGAACCTCAAGAAGTTTAAAGGGCAGATTTACAGGTATTTATGGAGAACTCTCCATAAACACTATACAGACAGTATTCAACAAAACTAAAAGGGTAGACAAAAGATATCACCACAGCTTTACTGGAGAATGCAAGTCGGCATTTCGCTAGCACAAGAAAAATTATGCATACAGGCAGTAAATCTTAGGAGATCTTGGAAACCATAATGGCTGAGTGTTTGATGTGACTGAGAATGGGAACCAATAGAAAGATTCAAAGGGGGTGGGAAGGTTCAAAGGCTTAATCCCAGCTGCAACTTTTATGAACAAGTCAAGACCACACTTATGAATGCCAGACAGGGCATTAAGACACAAAATGATGAAAACCTGCAGGGAAAAAAACTGTTCTGGGAGTTTTTGCATGGGAAGAGATGGGAAGCATCACACTTAAAATTCAGGTACAAAATTAATACAGAAATTCAAGTCAAAGATCACAGCCAGGCTACAGAAAGCATCCA